CCCCGCTCCAAAGAGCAAGCCCGCGGCCTCCTGCTCCCCGACCCCTCCAACCCTCGCCGCCCAGCCGCCGGCCCCTCCCGCGGCTGCAGAGCAAACCCACCGGCGCCGGCAAAGTTTGCGCGCGTCCTCGCCGCCGGGACCCCCTCGCCGCCCCCGGCCGCGCTCCCGGCTCGCGCCACCTGCTGCCGGACTGAGAGGGGGCGCCGAGGGGAGCGGGGCGCAGCGCGAGCCCCGCTCCCCGATCCCCGCCCACAGCCTGCGGGAAGGCGGCGCGCTGGGCTCCCGGGGTCGCGGCCCCCTCCCCTGACCAGGGCGCGGCCGCTCCCCGCGGGTCCCGCCCCAGCCCCCCTCAGGCCCCCACCCCGCGCCGCCCCCGCCCTCAGAGCCCCGCTCGCCCGAAGCGAATAAATCATGAATGATTTATGAGCCGACTTCGGGGGCCACCGCGACGGCTTCCCACGGGCTGCCCGGACGCGGGACCTGGGCGCCGGGGGGGGGGGCGCCGTCGAGGCCCTGGGTGCGCGCGGGACCCGTGGCGGCCTCCCCCGCCCTGCGCCGAGACTCGGGATGGCCCCGCGGGGGGCGAAGCTCCTTAGACTACTCACCCCGGCGGGCTGGCGGGCTGGCGGGTGCCTGCTGCCCGGCCCCGCGGTGCGTTTTAAAGGTAGCTAAGTCAGGGGTCGGGGTGGTGCCTGGACACGCTCCGGCCTGCGCCCGGGGCAGCTTTGCCACGGTGCCCTGGGCGCCCACCTGGCCCTGGACGGCACCCCCTTCCTGCAGCGAGTCCTGTTCTCCCAGCACACCCTTCTGGAAGCACCTGCCTGCTTTTCCCAGCAGAACCTTCTGGGGATGCTGCGACCCTCCAAGCAATTCCATCAGGTTCTTCTAGTTCCAGCTCAAATGGACCTGGGTGACTTGTCCCGGGCCCTGTAGACGCTTCTGCTGCCGCCTGCAAGGCGCTTACAAAATTATTTCCCTAGGGAAAACCCAAAGCACTTGGTCCCTGAATGTGCACCAGTCACAAAACCAGTAGCTGGAGTTGCAAGAAGGGCGGACGGTGTCCTTGTCCCCATACAGACACACAGACAGCCGCTACAGCGGATGACCTGGAGCACCGTACTTCTAGCACAGCAGGTGGTAGTGCATTCTGGAAACTTCGGAAACATCCCCTGCAGGCAAGGCAAGGCCGCCAGGTCCTCTGTGGCTTCGCCTCACTGCCCAGAGGTGCCTGTTGGAACAGCTCCAGAGACCCCCGGCCCCTGCTCAAAGGCAGCAGCTGTGGAAGTGTAACAGGGTGGTCCCCAGGAAAGGGGGAGGTTCCCTGCCCCACCCAAGGGAGGGTGGAGCTGAGCAGGAAGAGGAGAAGCTGGAGAAGAGACTAAGGAAGGAAGCAGGATGGAGCCAGGAGCCCTGGAGGAGGCGCGTGGAGCCTAGAGACACGTGAAGAAACTGCGCTTGTCTTTTGGTCGTGGACGGGGTGACACAGATGTGGGTGAGACCCGTGGGGAGGTGACCATGGCAGCTTTTATCTTGATGTTGATTTTGCTCTTTTCCTTCCGGGCTTGTCCGGTTGTTTGTGACCCTTTTCTGTGGGTCCCCACTGGAAGATGCTTTAGACTTGTGGCAGGCCTTGGGGCCTTGCTCTGGGCCAATCCCATTTGGATGGACTTTTACCCACGAGGGGATGGGTCACTTTGGGTGCTTCATTTAGAAACTAGACTCTTTGCCTTTCCTGTATTGTTTCCTAGTTTTATTAAATTTCCTTCCCATTAAAGTGTCATATGTTTTGTGTTGATGGGGCTGATGGCAGAACCCATTTAGAATAGGCAGGTTTGCGGGGTTTGGGCTGCCCCTCTCCCTGTCCTATAACAGAAGGAACCCAGAGCTCTCCCTTCTCTGACCTGCCCCTTTCTGTTGCTGTGGCCGAGCCTCTCCCTCTCCGAGCCGCAGCTTCCCGTCTGCAGAAGGAAGATAAGTTGGCTCGTCGCATAACTCACATATATGCCTCCTGTATATTTCATTTTTATTCCTAGCAATAAAACCCCCAGCAGTCACAGTGGGGCCAGCCAGCACTGACCCTCGACGAGCAGCAGCTGGGATGGGCCCTGACCTGGGTGTTCTCTGCCTTCGCGGTGCCGGGAGCAGCAGAGCAGTGCGAGCTGGTGGCACCGTCTCCATCTTTAAGGGAAAGGCTGGAAGGGGGTCAGTCATCTGCCCCAGGTCGCCATGCTAGTTACGCGAAGTGCTGCCTCAGAGCTCAGACCTGGCTTCCAGAGCCAGGGAGCCCACCTAACACTCCAGCCCTGGGACAGCTAACCTAGAACACTCTCGGGCCTTGGGCCCTCCCAGCCCCACCCCACAAGCCCTGGAGGCGGTGAGGCAGCGCTCAGCCCTGGACTGACAAAGCCATCACCTGCCTTCCTGGGCATGGTGGGCTCCAGTGGCCTTTATCCATTTTCATACCCTCCCCCAGCCCCTCTGCCTGGACCGCTGCAGGCACAGGCGTTCAGGAAAGGAATGAGTGAATAATCAGCATAGAATGTGATGTTAAGATCTGCCTGGGAGGCCTTATTTAGGCAGGGACAGGCCTAATGCTTAGCTCTGCTCAATCCCATGGGTGCCCTAATCCCACAATCCCACTTCTTAGTACAAGTGAGTGCCTGGGTCACCTGTTCGGGGCAGGGCAGGAGCGCAGTGCTTCTCGCACACACCCTTTCTAGCTGGATGCAGGAGGCCGCCTCCCACTTGCAAGCTGGGTCCTCAGCGCTCTTGCCTGGTGGAATGTAGCGTGAGGCACCCTGGAACTTTGGAAAGAACCACAGAGTCCAGGTCCTGTTATAGCCGCCTGGGTGGGCCCTGGCAAGTCATGTGGCCCCGGGCCTCACATGGCCATGGGCCTCACATTCCTCCTCAGTTCACCAGCTGTGCTCTGTGACCACCCCGGACCATTTGGGATGTGTGGGTGGAGGACAGAGCCTCGCCCCCGGGTCCATCGGATAGTGGCGGGTGAATGAACAACAAAGGAAAGGAGACTTAGCAAGGCCTCGCATTACAAGGGAAGTGTTAATCAAGATTAATTGTTGGCATCTCACGGAACTTCATCATTCAATAGTCCTCAGCTTTAATCATCATTCAATAGTCCTCAGCTTTCACAGGACGCTTCTTATGAAAGATTGCATCGTCTCTGGATCATTAAGAGTATGTTATTCTAGTGAGCCGTACAACTTGTGCCATCCGTAACTGTGTTCTCAGAAATAATGTGTCTGTATGACAGATGAACCTGGCATAAATGGCCCTTTAGAAAGGGAGGAACATCTTGTCTTCTTAAAACTGAAATATATGGGGGCGTCCCTGGTGGTGCAAGGGGTTAAGTCTCAGCACTAACTATGAAGCTGGCGGCAGCCACTGGAGCACAAGTTTGATCCCCGGCCAGGGAGCTACCCACATGGCCCAGCAGACCTCTCCTGTCTCCCCGCTGCTCCCCTCAGCAGTGGATTTCAGTCAGTTTGCCTGTTCTGCTCCCCGCTCTGTCTCTGATGAATCCTTTTACCTCTCCACACCTCTGGCCTACACCCCAGCTCTTGTATGCATGAATAAATAAATCTTTAAAAAAAAAAAACAAAACCTAAAATGTATAAAAGATCAGCCAAGGAGGGAGAGAGGGAGGGAAAGAGATTGCTCTTTATAGAAAGTCCACTGGTTTTGGAGGGCCTGGTCCTTGCAAGCCGTACTTTTCCTGTAAATGTTTTACCTTATGATTTTCCTGCTCCCCTTGCTTTGGCCTCCTTGCCTCCGGGCTTCGATACCAGAAATAGCATTGCTGGTGTTTAATAACTAAAGCCAAGAAAACATTCTTCTCATACTTGGGGAAACTTCAGGTAAATTTGCGGCTCATCCATCATGCCCACTGTGTGCTAACTTACGGCAGAGGATGAAGACTGCGCTAGGGTTTGGACAAAGGGAGGAAAGAGAGCAAAGGGCGCAGGCCAAGGATGGTGCCACTGAACTTGGATTTGGACCACGAAACCCCGGGAGACCCTGGAAGGGCCCCTCCCACCTCCAGGGGCGGGGGAGGTGAGGGGCAGTTTCTGTTTTATGTGCAGAATCTGTCCTCTGGCAACCGTGACAAGTCTGTAGGGCTGGATTTCGTTCACCTGTGCCTTTCCTGCATCACGTCATTTGTAATGTCCACTTATTCAAATGGGCCCACGATTTGCCTTTAGTGTCCGTGTGGAGGAAAAACCTAGAGACTCAGAAAGCAGAGAGTGATATGGCCGTAGGAACCGGATCTCATTTCCTGAAGGATGGGGAGGTTCTTTCCATCTAAATGCTATTGAGAGATGGAGGGCAGAGGTAGGCAGGAAAATCCCCACTCTCTCATGTTATCACTGTCCTTTTTCTTTTCTTTTTTGATAAAGATTTATTTTTATTTACTTATGCATGTAAGAACTAGGGTGTAGGCCAGAGATGCAGAGAGGTGAGAGGACTCACCAGAGTGGGGAGCAGAACAGGTGGATCTACTGAAACACACTGCTGAGGGGAGCAGCAGAGGAGACAGGATTTGGGATGAAATAGTGAGACCCTCTAATTCCTTCCAATAATCTGATAAATCTGAGGGATTCATTATGGGAGGAAGAGAAATGACGACGGAGAAGACTGTTCTAGATCAGTGACTTTAAAGCGTGGGGTTCTTGACATTTGGGGCAGGACCATTCTGTGTTGTGAGGCTGCCTGTTTCTTGTAGGATCTTTGAAGCACCAGGCAGAAGCAGCCCCCACCCCCACCACCCCTCACTGTCCCCAAGTGGTGACAACTTAAATTGTTCAAACCTACAGGTGGATTTTCTTTTTCAGCCACCGGAGAAGTTATTGCATTTGGGCAGATCATGATCAGATAATTAACAAGGGGATCCCTCATTAATGAGGCAGATGGTAAGGATTATGGGCATGAACTGAAGGGCATCTGTGCCCCAAACCCACCTGGTCCATTTATGTTCCTACCTGACCCTGGGGAGTCAGTCCTCATGTTGATTCCACATCATTTCCAGTGACAGCCTGCCCTGGAAGAATTGCAAAGAGAGCTATTCAGGAATGTCGCTGCCCACAAGTATTCTAGCACTTGGGCACTCACAAATGTCTGGGTGCTGGGTGCTTGTCCTGATGTATAATCGGTATTTGTTCTGAGAATAGCTTGGTACTTGGTAAAAATCAAATTTATTCCTGATAAATTTGGACATAAAAAAATTCAGAAAAAATGCCAAAAGGACTTAATGAAATTTCTGATGACCTAATAAAGTGCCTGGTATGTTATAAGACTTCAGTAAATCTCAGAGGAAAAACGGGGCAATAAAAAGAAACTATAAGCTCTTAAATGTAGTCTTTTTACATTTACGAGAGGGTTAAAAGTTCTGTCCATCCATCAATCAGACAGATTTAACGACAGGCTGCCACAGGCCATGAGGCAGATGTGGTCATAGCTGCAGACTGGACATAGGCACAGGTCGCTGTGTCCCCAAGGACTCCTGTCCTTGCTGCTGCATTTATTGACCCTCTCCTGTCTGCCAAACACTGAGCAAAGTATTTTGGTACATCCTCTTATTTAATTAAACCCTCTGTTGTGGGTGTGATTGCCCCCAATTATTTTCCAGAGAGAAAAACTGAGGCTCACAGACCCAGGTTGTACTATGATTAGTTCCATAGTAACAGTTACCATTTATCAAACTAAAGTTTACTCTATTTATTTATTTGTTTATTTGTTTGTTTGTTTGTTTATTAAAAAGATTTATTTATTTATTTATTCATACAAGCACTGGGTACAGTCAGAAGCGCGGGAGGGTGAGCGAATTCACCAGAGCCAGAGCGGGGAGCAGAGCAGGCAGAAGCGAAGTACACTGCTGAGGGGAGCAGCGGGCGGCAGGAGAGGTCTGCGCGCCATGTGGGACCCTCCTCTGGTGGCCGGGGAGCAGCCGGGGATTGAACCGGCGCTGCAGAGGCTGCGGGCAGCTTCGCAACCCAGCGCTCAACTGCTGCGCCCCCGGGGAGGCCCAAACTAAAGTTTACTCTAAATGTTTCCTTTAACATTGAAGATCATCCTGCAAGCAGGTATTAGCCAAGCAAATGAAACCAAAATCACCTGGGTGGTGAGAGGTGCAGGCAGTAGGCCAGGTGGTGGGGCTTCTGCATTTACCCTCCTACCCCCACAGGGAAAAGCCCATCCTACTTGATTAGGTTTTCAACAGGCAGGTAATAAACAAGGACCATTTAACCCAATAACATGCGCAAGGGCCAGGCTCCCGGGCCCTGTATCAAAGTCCCTCCCTAGGACTCTGAAATAGACTCCCAGGGCTGGAGTCCAACTCTGGCGCAGCTAACTTCAGGGGCCACCTTGGCCTTGGCTGGTAACCTAATTCCTGCGAGCCTCAGTTTCCTCATGCGCAGAATGGAACTGTGGCTGTCGTCCCGCTGCATTTGAGAGCTTTCAATGAGATAGTGTAGCTGATCCTGGAATCTGGGAGCAGGCTACTGGGGACTCCCACATGCCCTTGACTTCAGACTCAGGACGCACACCTCCCTCGGGGGCAACGCTGAGCTTGGGCTGCGCTGCTGCTGTTTCAGCCATAGCTTGATGAATCCCTCCACCCCTGACTTCAGCCAAGCGAGCCTCGTGGCTGTGGAGCCCTGCCTGTCGATGTGCTCGCGAAGAAAACTCAGCAAATGTCTTCAGGGGTTTCCTTTGCCCTAGTGCCCAGTTCATGGGCCTCCCCACTGTTCCAGAGAGAGTGAAGCCCCCCAAATGCGCAGAGAGCACCTGCCCCAATGATTCCCAACGTCTAGCCCACCCACCCCACTGGGAGCTAGGCTGAGGGGGTCCCCCACTAAAGCCCAATGCAACCAACACATCCTGACCTCTGTTCAAGTCAGGATCCCAAATTCCCTGCATGATGAGGGCCACCAGTCCCTGAGGGGTGCAGAGGGGACCCCCAGCACAGCACCTACAAAGCTTCCTTGTACCCTCTCCCCCAGGTTCCTCCCCCCCAAATGCCCTGCTCAGTTGGTCCTGGATGGTGGCGGCAGAAGCAGCAGGATGTGGGGGAGACTATAGCTAGGAGATTACTGGATGTGGCCACCGAGGGGTCTGGATTTCTGGGTTCAGGGATCATTCCTTCCGTCTTACCACAGGAGAAAATGCAGGCACACCTGGCTCTACTGTGCTCCACAGATAGTGTGATTTTTTTTTTACACCAGCAAAAAGATTAGGACTTGCTGAACGTTCACATGGTGTAAGGGGCAGGACTGGACACAGTGCAGGTTTTCTGATCCCATGCAGATCGGGTAAAGGAGGAGTCAGAGTCCTCAGTAGTTTTGCAGGTTTTTTATTTGGGGTTCACCAGGCATTGGCAGGCAGGGGTGCTGGCTGGGGGGCTGGGAGGCTGGCAGGCCTCCCAGCCCCCAGCAAGTCCTCACTCTATCTGGGCTCTCTAGCGTTCGTTCTGCTGCTTCTCGGCTTCGGCTGCGGCTGCGGCTGCGGCTGCTGCTGGTGCTGCTGGCGTCCCCCGTGACGCCGCCCTTAAAAGCACAGTCTTAGCTCAGCTGAATCCCATCTACCTATGCCCACACCCTATTCCAGGTGCCCACCATCAGGCATGCATTCAGGACAAGGATCCATCATCTATCCTGATGGCGGAAGGGCAGAAAAGCCTGATATTTTCTTTACCCTACAGTCTACCCCCTCAGGGTTTTCTGCCATACAGTCTATACATATATACACAATTTTCTAAGCAAACAAACAATGCAGCCATGGCCCACAAAAGCAAATACATCAAATAACAAAATACAATATAACAAAATACAACAGAACACAAATAAGTCCAGGCAGGGCACCAACCAAGTGCAAAAGACAATTATTGGTACCAGCAGATGAGCCACCAAATCTGCTGCCGAAAGCACTGCTCATACGAGGGAGGGGAAATCACACACGGCATCTGCTATAACACACCAGGAGCCGTTAGGCTTCCTGGCCTTCTCTGGCTGTAGTCTCGGCTACAAGGCACACACAGCATCCACCCCCAGGATGCACTAGCTCTGGGATTGGCAATTTTATTCTGTTGGGGGTAATCACCAACCCTCAGGGTTTCTGTCTGCAGTCGCTCCAACACTCGGCCTTCATGGCCACCCATGCGACTCGCAGACCCCTGCACTCAAGCCAACCCACTGCACAAGCACATGGGTTGGGGATCAAAACTCTACATGTGGCTTGGGCTCCACCCCAAGCCACGCTCCCCACCCATCCCCCAAGGACAGGTTCCTCAGCTCCTCACCCTCACTCAAGAATGAGCAGGGCATCACCCACAGGTGATTTTACGAGACTCACAGTTCTTCAGCATACCCAGGCTGCTTAACAGCCGCTTAGGGCTTCTCAACTTAGCATCAGTACCAGCTTTTGCCTTCTTAGTTGGCTTTTCTCCTCCACCTGGCTGCTGGGCATGCACAGGCTGCTTTTGGCCATCTAGGCCCACTGGCCACCCCAGATTCCCATCTCCTGGGGTTTACAAACAAAACTGTTCCATCCCCAGGGTCCCAAAACATATCAACCTGCAAGGTCCTCCGCCTTTTGGCGGGATTGCCAGTCCAAGTCCATCAGTCCATCAGTTCAAGTCCATTGGCCTCTCCCTGCGTCAGCAGTGGCCTGCTGCCTCAGGGGTCATTGGCTGGTCCTTTCCGGTGTCGTTGGCTGGTCCTTTCCGGTGTCGTTGGCTGGTTCTCTCGGGCGTCTCCTTCACGCCAGGTCTCGTCCTGTAGCTCGTGGACGTTGTCCACCTTCTGTGCCACCATGGCGCCTCCAGCGTCATCACAGGCAAACAGTCTGTTCTCCTTAGTCCCTCCAGGTCTTCAGAGGGCTCCATACCCGTCTGCATGGATCCTGCCGACTACGCCAATTGTAAGGGGCAGGACTGGACACAGTGCAGGTTTTCTGATCCCATGCAGATCGGGTAAAGGAGGAGTCAGAGTCCTCAGTAGTTTTGCAGGTTTTTTATTTGGGGTTCACCAGGCATATGGCAGGCAGGGGTGCTGGCTGGGGGGCTGGGAGGCTGGCAGGCCTCCCAGCCCCCAGCAAGTCCTCACTCTATCTGGGCTCTCTAGCGTTCGTTCTGCTGCTTCTCGGCTTCGGCTGCGGCTGCGGCTGCGGCTGCTGCTGGTGCTGCTGGCGTCCCCCCGTGACGCCGCCCTTAAAAGCACAGTCTTAGCTCAGCTGAATCCCATCTACCTATGCCCACACCCTATTCCAGGTGCCCACCATCAGGCATGCATTCAGGACAAGGATCCATCATCTATCCTGATGGCGGAAGGGCAGAAAAGCCTGATATTTTCTTTACCCTACACATGGTGACTAGCATTTTCAGCAATAAAGTGTTTTTTAATTAAGGTATATGTGTTGCTTTTTCAGACATAATGCCGTTGCACACTCAGTGGACTACAGTATAGTGTAAACATAAGTTTTATATGTGCTGGGAACCTCCCAAACTCATGTGACTTATTTTATTGCACTATGAGCTTTATTGTGGTGGGTCTAGAACAAAACCTATAGTATCTCCTGGGTGTGCCTTTAGGGTATTGGAAGAAGCCCAGATTGTACCCCTTCATCATGGAATGAGAGCCAGCCTGGGGGGCGGAGCAGGGTTGGGAGGGTGGGGGCATCTGGGTGAGCTGACTCTATGACCTTGCACAGATTAGTTCCTCTTCCTGAGCCTCAGTTTCAGCTCCACAAAATAAGGAGCATAATGAAAACATGTATCTCACAAAGCTAATTCTTGATAAGAAGTCTGGGCCTCCATGGTGGTGCAAGGGGTTGAGCACAGCACTGTGAAGGTATCCACAACCTCTGCAGCACAAGTTCGATCCCTGGCCGGCCAGGGGGCTACCCACATTGTGCAGCAGACCTCTCCTGTCTCCCCGCTCCTGCTCCCCTCAGCAGTGTATTTTAGTCAGTCTGCCTGTTCTGCTCCCTACTCTGTCTCTGGTGGATCCTCTCACCCCCTGCACCTCTGGCCTGTACCCTAGGTCTTGTGTGCATAAATAGTCTAAAAAAAAAAGTCCGTCTGCGCCTTCATTACCAGGAGACTTCTCTCCAAGGGCTTCCCATCAGCTGAGGACAGTGCCCTAGTGATGCATGCAGCCCTTGGGTCTGCTCAGGCTCAGGCTGAGTCTAGGCTTCCAGCCACCCCAGGGAGGCAAATGCCCAGTTGCAAGCTGGTTACCTATATAAGATCACTACGTAGGTGTTCATTTAAGAAAGAAGCATTCTATTCTCCAGCCCAGCTCAACATTTTAAAAATGACAGTGGCTGAAGAAGAGCCCTGGGCTGGACCAGTCCCCAGGCAGCACGCAAGCTAAGACAGGGGCTGGACCACTCCTTGCTGACCAATATTCAGTCTCGTCTTCTTCTATTCTGAGATTTTCAACTGAGCAGCAGGCCTGATCTTGAGTAAAAACTACATTTCCTAGTCTGCCTTGGATCCAGGTGTGCCCCTATCACTGAATCCTGGTCAGGCAGCATTAAGCAGTAGTGGTGTAGACCATCTCTGAGAAACGTCCTTAGAGGGACGATGCCTTAGTCAGGGTAGTCAGGGTTCTCCCAAGGACCAGGGCAACAGGATATCCATATAGAGATTGGCAGAAGGACTTGGCTCACGTGACTGCAGAGGCTGGGATGCCCCACAGCCTGTGCTCTCCAAGCTGGAGTCTCAGGAAAGCTGGTGAGATGATTTAGTCTGAGACCAAGCCTGAGAATCAGAGGAGTTGATATAAAGCCCAGCCCATGGATAGAAGAAGGTGAAGTGAGTTGCCCCAGCTCCAAGAGGAGGCAGTATTCCACCTTGTCCTCTACTCAGGCTCTCAGTGGACTGGATGATGATCAACAGTACTGGGGAGGGCAGTGTGCTGTGCTTACTATTTCAGGTTAATCTCATCTGGAAACACCCTCACAGTCACACCTAGAAACAATGTTTCATCTGGGTGCTGGTGCCTAATCAAATCAATGCATGAAATGAACCCTGGCAGAGAGAGAGGGTGTTTCCTTCTGCATTTCTGCCTTCTACCTGCTGCCAGAATTTGGACAGAGGGCTGGAGCTCCAGCAGCCACCTTGGATTGTGAGTTGACTTTGAAAATAGGAGCCATACGTTAACCAAAACAGAGAGACACCCGACCGATTGGGAAAAAATCTTTGTACTCCATACAACTGATCAGGGACTGATCACAAAGATATACAAAGAACTCACATGGCTCAACAACAACAAAGTAAACAATCCAGTCAAGAAATGGGCAGAAGAGGGCCTCCCCAGTGGCGCAGCGGTTGAGCGCTGGGTTGCGAAGCTCCCCGGGGCCTCTGCGGCACCAGTTCAATCCCCGGCTGCTCCCCGGCCACCAGAGGAGGGTCCCACATGACGCGCAGACCTCTCCTGCCGCCCGCTGCTCCCCTCAGCAGTGTACTTCGGTCCTTCTGCCTGCTCTGCTCCCCGCTCTGGCTCTGGTGAATTCTCTCACCCTCCCGCGCTTTTGACTATACCCAGTGCATGTATAAACAAACAAACAAACAAACAAATAAGTAAATAAATAAATAAATAAATAAATAAATAACCCTCCCACACCTCTGGCCTGTACCCCAGCTCTTGTATGCATAAATAAATCTTAAAAAAAAAAAAAGAAATGGGCAGAAGAACTTAGAAGACATTTCTCCAAAGAGGAAATGCAAATGGCCAACAGGCATATGAAAAAATGTTCCACATTTCTTATTGTCAGGGAAATGCAAATCCAAACCAAACTGAGATACCACCTTACAACAGTAAGAATGGCACATATCAAAAAAAAAAAAAAAAAGCAACAACAAATGTTGGCAAGGATGTGGTGAAAATGGAACTCTCCTACATTTACATTTCTGGTGGGAGTGCAAACTGGTCCAACCACTATAGAAAGCTGTCTGGAGGTTCCTTAGTCTACTAAAAATGGAGCTACCATAATGACCTGGCAATTTCACTCCCAGGGATCTATCCAAAGGACACAAATACATTGATCCAAAAGACTACCAGTACCCCTGTGTTTATTGCAACACTATTTACAATAGGTAAAACCTGGAAACAACCCAAATGCCCAAAAATAGATGACTGGATCAAGAAGATGTGGCATAGATACACAACGGAATATTATTCAGCCATTAAAAAAGATAAACCCATGCCATTTGCAGCAACATGGATGGAGCTAGAAGGAATTATGCTCAGTGAAATAAACCAGAAGAAAAAAGAAAAGTATCACATGGTTTCACTTATAGGAGGAATACAGGGGAACTAAGTAAGACATCAGGAGAAAAAATAACAGTACAAAACACAATGAAACAAACAAACAAACAAAAAAAACCAAACAGATAATTGTAAACTAGAGACATCCTGCAGGAGAGAGGCGGTGAGAGGGATAAGAGCGAGAGAGGGAGGAGCACAGGGGACTGAGGTGATGGTGCTGATGGTGCACAGGTGCATTGGTGGAGGAAACTCTATGGGGTCTACACCTGAGGGGGGGAAAAAGCAATCATTGTTTAAAGATGAGCAATGATGTAAAATATATATAAATAAAAAAGAAAATAGGCGTCATAAAAAGCCGAACACAGCACTGGGTGCCTAACCAGGGGAGCTCCATTCCAGCCCAGCCCCGGCTTCTTCTGCAGTTGTGACAAACTTCTATGGGGGTTAAGCTACTGTTTTTTTCAATTTTTCTGTTTCTCATAGTAAACTTTCTTGTAACTAATAAAATGCCAATAGGTCACATGTAACAGAAATGGTGGGTTTGTGGGGGTTTCTAGTCATCAATTTCTGACTATATTAGCACGGCGTGTTTGCAGGGACACCCTCGCCCTAACTGCAGACCCTCTTTCAGGACACATCCAGCTGTGGCTGTTGCACACTCAAGAGAGGAAGAGGTGGGATGGAGCTCAGAGCACAAAAATTGCAAATCCTGAACAAACCACATCATTAGTTCTGCTCTTTCGTTTAACCAACATGGACTGACTTTGTGCTGGGCTTTATGCAAATTCTCATTTAATCTTCCCCAACAATATATTGATGGAAACATCTTCCGCATTTTTCAGATGAGGAAACTGAGAGGTAAGTCCACGACTGAGACTCAGTCTGTGTCCCTTCAGCCTGCACTAATTAATTTTTAATCACTAAATGTATCCTTATTTCACGAGTGGGAACTTGTCTTGGAGTTCCCCTTGCCTTAGGTATGCCTTAGATTTACTCCAACAAGGCAGAGAATGAGACAGTCTAAAAAGTGTCCTGTTACCCGGTGGTCAGGGTGAAGGAGAGTGGGGTTGGCCAATCAGTTAGTGCCTTGTGCTGTTCCTGGGATGGCTCAGCATGGATGTGGTGTTTATGGAGCAGCTGTTGCTCCAAAGTGTGGGCATCACCCTTTTCTGGAAAGAATCCACATTGCCCCAGCATTCTTGTGTGGCTCAGAAGGAAAAACACCAGCCAGGCAGAGAGAGATGGGTCTGGTTGCATGTCCACCACCTGTGTGTTGTATGCTGTGTGCTGTGTGCCTTCACATAAGCTGGCTACCCTCTCTGGCTTCTCAGTTTCCTTTCAGGGCCTTTGCTGAGCTCCTTTGAGAGTGCCCTCATTCAGACCTGGTCAGGGCAGAGCTATTTAGAGTCGCCCAGGAAATTGCAGTCTCAGAACATGCTGGTTGGTACCCCAAATAGTCACATAAACACCAACCAGGCTTCAGTTTCAGTTTCTTTTTATAAAGAGAGGAGACATTGGAGAAGGAGCGGTTGTTACAGTCTAATAGTCAATGCAATCGTGTTTTACCCCCTTCCTGACCTTTCTCTTTTGGGAACCCCCGTTGGGAAGGAGTCCCCTTGAAATGTCTTTGAAAACCTATTTGGTGATAAGAATTCCTTAGGGCTTTTGATTAAACTAACAAACAGTACCAGGATCCCCAGGGAACCTTCTAGAGTTGTGATTCTGCAGATTAGAGAAGTCATGAGTAAGTACTGTTAAAAATAGAAAAAAGTCCCAGAATGGAGTCCTCCATGCTGGACCCTTATCCAGAATTAAGACCTAGTCTCACTGCAGTTTCAACGGGAAAATCATGAGGCCCAGAAAAATATGAAATGGATCGTTTATCCTCAAAGTATCATCCTGAACCAACCCATCTGGAGTTTCCTCATCAGCCAGGTGATGTCAGCTGCATGAGAAGATCCCCCTGCCTTGAAGGTGGCTGTGCCTGAAATCATCTTTTCTTTTGCTAAATACCTGAACACGAGGCACTGCGGGTCTCTGCAGTTTTGTGCACTGCGGGTTTGTTGCTTTTTTTCAGGGCCAAACTGTGTAAACATCTGACCCGGTTTTGAGAAATCACTCACCTCTAGTCACAAAGTGGGGGCCCCTCTGCCTCCTACTGCTCCTCACCACCTCCATTTGCAGGGTCACTGGCGCTGTTGGAACAAAACAAAGGGTGAGTAAGTAAGAGCAAACACAGAGACAATGAAAACCCAGCTTAGAAAAAACCAAACCAAACCAAAGGAAATACACAGCAGGCAGCCGCCATTGTCTCTGGGGAGAATGGACAAAAGGCTCTCTTCTCTATTCTTATTAAAATTTCTCCTTATGTCCCAGATTTCTATAAAAGCACTAGCTCCTTTGTCAGTTAAAAGGAGAAAACTTTCTTTGAAAGCACAACACTCACGGCATCATATAAAAGTGTTTATATGATGTTCAAGTTTATAGGGGTACATTTTGGTAACTAGGTTTTCAGGGCACACTGGGGGAAAGCTTGAAAGTTTAAAAATGTATTCATTTTACTCTGCATTTAGTTCAAGATGTTAATAGAAATATTTTACAGGACAATGTTCATGTTCTGGTAAGTTCTGTTAAATGGCAAAGTGCATTATTTGGAAAGTTGTTTTTTATGGAGAGGGTTGTTGTTGTTTTTTCATTTTAAGTGTTGTTAAGTTTTATTTCTTCAGGCACTGAGCTAAAATGAGCAAGCTAAATTTGCCCAGAGCTACCACTCCGGGGCGGTCCACTCATGCCTCTATTCTTAGCTTCAATGGAAGTTTTAAAAATAAAAAAATTTAAACTATGACTATAGCTGATGAGTCCAATGTGAAAGTTACTGAGCAGTGATGAGAGAATTACCTAGAATAAATTGAATTAGCACATGAATGCTCACAGTGAGCTCTTTGGGGTGCTACCAATACCTCTCTTACCTGTTCTAACCCTGGGGAAGCTAGTCAGGTTGCTTTGGTCCAGAAAAATGTCAGTTTATAGGCCTTCATCCCAGCCGTTGTAGCATGAGGCTGTACAGTTCACACTCTCCTCCCCCAAGACAATGTGAAGATAATATCAGCATCCTTGTCTGCTCGGAGTGTTTTGCTCAGGTTTACACACCCATGCCTATGCTGTGCACTGTCTATCTAGACCGTCTTCCAGAATCCTACTCTGAATCCACAGGAATCAAAATAATTTAGCTGCATACAAGCCATTTTGCCTTTAAATGTAGGTCTAAATTTATTTTTTTTTAAATTTTTTTTAAAGATAATTTTTTTAAAAGATTTATTTATTTATTTATACAAGCACTGGGTACAGTCAGAAGCGCAGGAGGGTGAGAGAGTTCACCAGAGCCAGAGCGGGGAGCAGAGCAGGCAGAAGGACCGAAGTACACTGCTGAGGGGAGCAGCGGGCGGCAGGAGAGGTCTGCGCGCCATGCGGGACCCTCCTCCGGTGGCCGGGGAGCAGCCGGGGATCGAACCGGCGCCGCAGAGGCCGCGGGCAGCTTCGCAACCCAGCGCTCAACCACTGTGCCACCGGGGAGGCCCTGTAGGTCTAAATTTAAACCATGGTTCTGCATTGTCAACCTAAATAAAGAGGTAAATTGAGGCAAAACTGTCAAAAAGGTGCGTTAATTAGGGAAGAGCAGAGAAATTGAGACTCAGGACACACACAGCAAGGTCCGGAAGAGGCCCTCGAGAGCTTCGGCAGCAAGTCTTGGGGCTCTAGTAAGAGCCTGGTAAGCATCTGTCGCCTTTAATCATTTACTCAAGTATTTATTGAGTAGTTACTATGTGCCAGGGCTTGGGAGTTGATGGGGTCCAGAGAGGGCCACCCCAAAATAGACCCATGTTGGCAAGTGTATTATTTTGGATTAAAATTACTTAAACAGTTGGTGCCAGAACACTTTTGACCCCTGAAAGCAGGAAGTAAATCTCCACGAGAGGTGCCTTCCTGGCCCGGAGGTGAAGAAACAGCCCCATCTCAGGTGATGCAGGGCTGAGGTGTCTGTATCAACAAGCCTCGCTCTCTCCATTAAGTTACTATCCCAAGACTAAATTTCCTGATCTTGTCAATTCTTTACCCATTTAGTGTTTCCTTGTAAAAAGGGAAAAATGATATGAAAGTTAGCCTGCTTTGGCTACTTCTTTGGGCCATGTCTCTCTGTGGCTTCCAGAGGCATGAAATTAAATTGCCTTTTCTCCTGTTAATCTGTCCTTTATTTTAAGGGGTATCATAGTCAAAAGCCTAGAGTAGAGGGGAAAAGATTTTACCCCTCAGAAGCAATACTGAACAAAACACACTTCTTGCCTTCAGGAGGCTTACAGCCCACTCCTCGGATGATAGACATCCTTAGAAGGTAGCCCCAGGAAACTAGTACTGTGAAATAAGAGGAAGTGTGGGAGCAGGTGAAGTTCCCTCTTCTCCATGGGGTTGTCAGAGACCTCGCTGAGGTGAAACCCGAGCAGAGACAGGGATGAAAGGAAGCATCTACGGGGGAGGGCTCCAGGGAGGAAGAAGAGTGGCAGGTGCAAAGGCCCTGCTGCAGGATGGGCTTCCTGGCCTCCAGGTGCAGCAAGGAGCCTGGGAGAGTCTGTGGAGGGCTTGGGGCCTTTCTTCCATGTGCCCAGCCCAGTTCAGTGCTGTGCTAGGGGAAATAAGGTGAAGGAGCTGGAATAAGCACAGATGAAGGTTTCTAGACCCTAAACTCCAACCCGCTCCTGGATCCTGTGCTGACCCGCCAAGCCTGGTCCTCCTGGAGTTTGAAGGAGGGGCTTTCTTGGGCAGTTTCTCTTGAAACTATTATTCCCCCATCTTGCACACCCTCACAGGAACCCCTGACCCAGAAGCAGCCACCACACAGCCCTGGACACCATCTTTGGGCAGGAAATCCACAGAGAGGGGGTTGGGTGTCCTGGCTGGACGTGCCTCCCACACGGGCATCCTCCACAGTGTCTCACCTGACTCTCCAGGGCTGGCCGCAGGGAGGGAGATTCTTCACACGGGAGGTCTGCGGCAATCATATCTGGCTCCCCCTTTTTCCTCGAGGTGGGGTCCTCCCTGCTGTCATCACCCCCTAGGTCATAAGCCTCTCTGACCTAACCTTGAACACAGACCCTTCCTTCAGTTGCCCGGCTCAGCGTGACTGGGCTGGACTACTCAGTGGGACTTCACAGGGAAGGACCAGGGGACCCACAGAGTAACTGACAACTGCCACCAACATGGCGGTTCCCAGAACCCTCGAGGCCACCCATGGCTGCCTCTGCCTGGCTTCTTTCTCAGCAGCAGCCACTGCCTTGCAGCACCTGGCACCGCTCCTCCATACCGGGGGTCCAGGTCCCCCCCAGAGGGGCCCACAGTTTAGAAGGTGGCTGCTCCTCACCAGTTCAGGGCCTCCCTTTCCAGCTACTTCCTGTCCCAGCATCCTCTTCTGCTTGATTGACATCGGGAATGCCCACTGTCGTCCGGGAGACCCTGCCCAGCATCCTGGGTGCTGGGACCCCAGCTTAGACACATCGGAGCAGTGTCCTCTCAATGTCACTCAGAGGTCACGGGTACTCACATGGGAGGCTCCTCACAACTCTGCCTGGTGTGCCTGGACTCAGTCTCTGCCCTGAGCTGTTTGGGGCAGCAATGCCCTCCTGGCCTGGCCTCTCCAAGCTCATGGGGTAACCGGGAACCTGCCATGCGGGCTCCTCGCTCCACCCTCTGCCTGGGCCCCAAGTCCTCCCAGGGCAGAAGCTGGGTCTTTGGCCCAAAGGGCAGTTGGGTTCCCAAGGATGATCTGGAGACCTACTAGTATCAGGTGGGGACGTGACTCTTTTTCCCATCATGCCTCGGGCTGAGGCGCTCTCACCTTGTTTGTAAGAGAGATACCAACTACACTGGGCAAAAGAAGAAGCTGTGCCAAGGCTGAGTGACTGGGTCACAGAGACCTTTGCGGTGCTTCCACGCTGTTGCACGCATGGCTTCCTCGGGGCAGAGGGCGGTTTGGGAGCGCTGGGGCTTCCCCACACCCAGAACAAGGCATAAATGACACTATTAGCAGAGAATGCTCTGTAATTGTGGTGACTTGCTGGCCTTCTACCAGTAAGCAACAGTGCAATGCCCTGCCCAGGTGCCCGCTCACCTCCTTCTTCCAGGCTTCTGATTCCTGGCAGCAGGAGGAAGCAAGGCCCAGCACGCATTTCCTTATGTACATGGTATGGCCAGCAAGAGCCTGGTTGAGAGGCCCTGGCTCTTTGAATCCCAGGGAACTAAAGACAACAACTGCAGGAAATTTTTGAAAGTAAATTTGCATGGTTTTGGCGGCTGGGGTTTAACATCCACGCCCCCCCCCTTTGGGCCCCCCTTTTTAGCTCTGGCTGCCCTGGTCACCCAACCCAGCCGTGGGGGTGGGGGGTGGGGGCAGGGCAGTCTGTTGTTTGCCCCTTTCATAGTCAAGGAAACCCAAGCAGACAAACTAACCCAAGCCAGCCAGCTGGTCGTGGCGTGGTGGAGCTGAGACGCAGACCCAAGCTTTGCATCCCCACAATTTCCTCTGAGACAAGCTTGAGCGCTGCTCTCTGCACAGGAGGAAACCTTCCAGCCTGGCCCAAGACGCATCTCTGAGCTCCCTCACCAGCTTGGCCTCCCAAAGAGTAGCTCAAACCTGGCCTTGGACATCTCCCGAGAGGCAGCCGGCAGGGAGGGTTCCAGGTCCCAACACTGCTGGGACCTCATCTCGCTCTCTTCGATCCCCTCAGACCAGCTTTCCGGGCTTGTGCTCAAGGAGGTTGTGTGGGGAAAGGAGCCGATGTGAGGGGCCAAGGGACTTACAGGGAAAAATGAGCCACCTAAAATCACAGGTTAAAAAAAAAATCACATCACAGGTAGAAAGAGGGATTAGGCCCAGAGGAGCACATTCCCTCACCTGCCCTCCTACCCCTTCCTCAGCCCCACCCTCCCTGCCCTGGGGGCTGTACCTGGAGGAATCCAGATGCTCCTGAGGAGCAGAGTGAGGGGGTGAGAGAGAAGGAACCGCAGGGCTGGCGTGAGCTATAGGGAAGGCCCTTTACTCCCTTTTGATAAAACTGACGCTCAATTCGCATGACATAAAATTAACCATTTTAAAGAGAACAATTCACTGGCATTTGGTGCATTCACGCTGTGCGGCAGCTCCTGCCTCTCTCCAGTTGCAGGCATTTTATCTCCCTGAAGGAAAGCCCCTGCCTTCACCTGTTTCCCTTGCTTCATGGAGGTGGCGCTGGACAAGCCTCTTGCAGCCCAGAGCTGCAGGTGGCAGGGGCTGCACTGGGGGCTGTGTTTGAACCTTTGTGGAAGCTTTTTTGCAGGTGGTAATGAATGTTACACCCTTCATGGTAGAAAACCTGGAGACTGAGGAACGTCCAGAGAGGAAACTTAAAATGGCTCCAGTACCATCCTTATTATATTTTCCCCAACGCTCAATGACACAGGGGCCATTCTATCTGCAGAGGAAGAAACTAAGGGTCAGAGAGGTCAAGCAACTGCCCAAGCAGCTGCGTGTGCCAGGTCATGGTCACTGCCATCGCCTCCCCCAGAGTAGACTTATGCCAGTGGCCAGGACCACTTACCTCTGTGTGGTTCCAGGTTCCTGCCTCTGCCTTCCTGGCTTCCCTCCTGGCTTGTGGCTCTGGTCATCTCCTGGCTGTCCCTGCAGAGGACTGCCGGGGCTTCCAGCATGTGGGCAGGGGTGCAGGTGCTGTGGCAGCAGGCTGGTCCCTCCCTGGGTTTCAACCACCTGCACCGCGCAGGTGCTGCTCGGAGACCATGCAGGGCCCTCGGGCGGAGGTGCCTTGCCAGGAGATACGGTCTGCAGTCAACTGGGTGTCAGACAGTGGGCCCGACCTGGCAGACACCATGGCACCTGAGCCTCCCCACTCTGCCCCTTCTAACAGAGAAGGGCAGCGTCTGAAGTAAGGCAAGAGCCTCAGCGAGGTGAGGTCTCAGCCTGGCGTCTGACGAGGCGGCACCTCTCGTTCAGTGGTTGGTAGTCGGTCTTGTTACCAAAACAATCCGATGGGCCATAGAGCCTTCCCTGAGATTCCACAGGAGGGCTGCGAAGCTACAGCCTTTTCCCAGGATGCTAATTAAAAACTCAACCCAACCAATGCAGCACCATAAATAATTCAACTTGGAGGACCTCGGGGACCAGGGTTCACCCTGCTGCCCTAATCCCTGCAGACCCTGCTTGCTCTTGCAGTTCTGTCTTCTGGAGGTTGCCCAGAGATGAGTGGACTTCCTGGCAGGAGCGGCTTCCCCCCGGGAATCCTGGAGCCAGAGGGGACACCTGAGCCTCCCCACTCTGCCCCTTCTAACAGAGAAGGGCAGTGTCTGAAGTAAGGCAAGAGCCTCAGCGAGGTGAGGTCTCAGCCTGGCGTCTGGCGCTCAGCCTGGTCCCAGCCTGCTGGACCTGCACATCGGCCCCCAAGCTCATCAGTGGAAATTGGGCCTTGTTGACTGAAAATAAAAGTCTCAATGATCATGAGACAAGAGCTCGTTGGATGATAAGGGAGATGTCCATCCTGCGGAGCAATCTGACAGATTTTGCTCTACAAGGACTATTCCAGGTCTCCCTGATGGTGCAAGGGGTTAAGCACAGCACTGTGAAGCTATTTGCAGTCACTGCAGGATGAGTTTGATCCCTGGTCAGGGAGCTACCCACATGGTGCAGCATACCTCGCCTGTCTCTCCCCTCAGCAGTGTATTTCAGTAGATCTGCCTGTTCTGCTCCCCACTGTGGCAGCTCCTGCCTCCATGGTTGGCAATGCCACTGTTGCCACCATTGCTCGCCAGTAATTGGATGAAATTAAGAGTGGCTGTACTGTGGATGCTCACAAATAGAGTACGTAAGACCCTCTTCCCCTGTGCGCTGGACTGGACAGTCAATGACGGGTAAGATTGGGGGCAGACTAAAGAAGGCACTGGCCAGCCTCATGTCTGTGACTCCTGACGACCTAAGACAGGCGCAGTCCCCGAGGGGCTTCATCATAATAAACTTTGGCGTTCAGATCAAACAAGGCCTATAAGCCTATAAGCCCAATCTAGGCAATAAGCCTGCAGTAAAAAACCCCTTCTTTGCTTGAAAACAAGGCTGCTAAGAGCGTTGCCTACAAACAAGCCTGATGGAATTACCTACAAAGCAGTTTAACCATTAACCAGTTAATCATTGTTTCTGAATAAGTAGTAACTTAGCAACGTGTCCATAATTAATTTTCTTACCTGACTTTTTCTATATATGTAAAAATCAGTTTCAGGAAATGTAACCACATATGCTTAGCAACTTGTAAACTATTAGCTAGAAAATTGTATTCTATGCCTAGGTAACAAGAAACATTGTTATGCTGGGAAAATAGATTTTGTGTGACCTAATGTCTTTTGAAAATGTATAAATATGCGTAATGATTTGAGCAAATTACACTCAGATTTTCACTCTCCCTTGAGTGTGTCTGTGTGTCATTCTTTCTTGTCCCCCGCCCTAATTCCTTCGACAACCTTTTGCTCATTCTCACTCAACCCTGAGATTGTCTCGATCTCCCGCCACCGCTGAGCTGGTCTGCGGCACCCCACTCTGTCTCTGGTGAATCCTTCCACCCCTCACATTTCTGGCCTGTACCCCAGATCTTATACACATAGATAAATAAATCTTTAAAAAAAAAAGAACTATTCCAATAATCACAAGTTTCAGTTGAGCTGATATAAACAGGAGCAGTGATCACTGACATAAAAAATACGTAGTTCTTAATGGGGGGCTTTGGCGTCTATAGGTTTAGCTCTTTCTGTGTCCAAAGTTATCGTGACTGAGTCAGAGGTGGTGTCCATGCGCAGAGGAGGGCGCTGCTGGGGTCCAGTCGCTTCTCTGATTTCTAAAGAACGCATTGTGGAGGCGTAGGGTCAGGAAGTACCACTGTGCAGGTTTTCTCATACCCAGCAGACTGGGTAAAGGAGGAGTCAGAGTCCTCAGTGGTTTTGCAGGTTTTTTATTGGGATTACCAGGTACACGGCAGGCAGGGGTACTGGGGGGTCGGTAGGCTGGCAGGCCTCCCAGCCCCCAGCAGGTCTTCACTCTGGGCTCCCCGGCCTTCTCTCGGCTTCTCTTTCAGCTTCTTCTGGCGTCCCCGTGACGCCGCCCTTAAAAGCCCAGTCTCAGCCCAGGTGAATCCCATCTACCTAGGCCCACACCCTGCTCCAGGTGCCGCCATCAGGTATGCATTCAGGACCGCAAGGATCCATCATCTATCCTGATGGCGGGAGGGCAGAAAAGCCTGACATTTTTCCTTACCCTGCAGGAGGCCAGAGGGGTGTCCATGGTTTCAGTCTTCCTTAGCTCGCTCCTGGTCTTCAGTGGGGTCGAAG